TAAGAACATGAATTAATCCTGGTTTCTCACAATTGGGACCTTTTCATGGTCAAGGACAGCTCAACTACAAATGCCCACAAATTAACACAGAATGGTACCAGGTAATTGTCAAATCTCATATTTGGTAAAAGAAATGAAACAGGATCCAGCAACTCGAAGTATCAGGTTGACCCACCTTCATATTAAGGCAGTGCCAAAGCAGAATTGAGCTAAACAAAATGTGAATGGGATGGGACTTCCATTATTAGATCTCATCAAGTGTTAAGAGGGCATTGGCCACTAGGGATAAAACTCCATAGTCATTCCTTATGATATTTTTTTATAAAAGAATAAGCATTATTAAGATGAGATAGAAGTAATTATAAATGCAGTGAATAAGACATCCACCTGAATTTTTAACAGACAGCTCAAAAATAACATATCAAACATAAAAAACCTACAAGCTGCCTTGCTGCGTTTCTGTGTAATACAGAAAACACAATATCAGAAAATTTCCCATGGGTTAAAACCCAGAGTAAAGCCAAAAAAGTAGATTCCTTAAGATATCATCAAAAGATTACAAAATTTGCAGCGCAGAGAAAAAAAAATTAATAGAGATTAAAATTTATCCATGAACCATTTTATAGAAGTTTATTGATAATTTCACTTTATAAAGCAAATTTACTTCAATTCTTGAATAATCCTTTCACTTCAGCTTTATTCTAACGAGAATTTCCTTTCGTATGGAATTATCAAATAATTTTTCTCAGATAATTAATTGAACTGATTGTTACAAAGGTTTAAGTTGATAAAATATGACCCCTATCAATTATTTAGCTTCTGACATGCCTCCTTAAGTGTAAACTAGACTGAAAGCATCGATTAAGCATAGTCACCAAACTTTGTGCTACGAAAATTTTAATAGAAATAGGATAGTCAAGATTTGAATACCAACCATCTAACTCTAATACTATCTTAAATAATTTTGAATTGATTGTTTCAAAAATTTAAATTAAGAAGAAATGAATCCAATCAATTATTTATATTTTAATAAATTTTTAGTGAAAATTATCAAATTGTGAACTGGAGAAGGAAAAATGAAATTTCATTTGGGAGGATCACTTGTTAGGTGAGTCTTCTCTTGCATCCTATTTCTTGTCTTCACAAATTTTTTCGTTCTCCTAAAATCTTGATGTATTTTATCCCCTTTTTAATGTTATTTCTTTTCAGTATAAAAGGGAAAAACAACTGCATGTTTTTCCCACATACTCGATTATTATAAAGTAGTTAGACATCAAGAACAATGTAGTTTGCTCTACCAACAAAGACTTGATTTATCTACATGTAGAATATGAAAGCTTTCAACAAGCAGATTTTTAGTAAGAAATGTCCTTAAGACAAGAGTGACGCCAAAAACACCTTTGATCTTGAAGCCACTAAACTTAGCAACAGAAACTCAATTACCTAAATCAAACCTTCCCTACTTGAATCATAGTTCATGTATTGAAATTTTATCAATATAATTGGAAAATAAAAACAAGAATTGAAAGGACGTCATGGTTTACCTGATAAGTCGATTCAAAATTTCCCAACTCAACAAACTAGTTGAAGCAACCTCTTGAACAATACTCAAAATTAGCAAAAGCTAATTGAATAGCAAAATCTGAAATTTTATTCTCTCAACTAGATTGTATTGTTGTTATGAATTACAACTTTAGATGAGACTTTATATAGGTTTTTACTGAAATAGTTCTAATTAATTATAAATGCTTGAATTCCATCTAAGATATGAACTTATCTAAATCCTTATCCTAAAATAATATTAAAATATTACTAAAGATAAAATTCAACATTAAAATAATAATTAAAAATTAATAAAACATTAACTAAATAATTCTCCTCCCTTTTACCATAATTTCCACGCGTTTTAATCCTCCATGTAGACTTCAATTCGTAGTAGAATCCTCTTTGGAAATTTAGTCACAAAAATCACATGTGAAATTTTGAAAAAAAGAAGAGTCCTCTTCGGCCTTAGCTTGCTGCCTGGATGCTTCACCCATGCAGATGGAAATTTCTGCTCATGGGCGCACCGCGTGTGCAGCTTGGCAATCCACCCGTCTGCACGCCTCTTGTGTGCTGTGAAGGCTGCTCCCGCATGCTATCTTCTCTCACGCGGGAAAGGATTCTGCAGATGGAGGGACTCCTTCCTGCACATGCGGCTGCCCACACACGTAAATAAGAAGGTTCACATGCGCGGCACATGCTGTCTGCCACTCTCCAAGGCCAACAGCCTTGCTTGCTTCTTCTCGGGTTCGGCCCAAAAGTGGTCCTTCCACTTCACCTTGCAATTCTTCAAGCCAGCAAGTATATTCATGCACCTTAAGCCTTTTTACTTGAAGAAACTTGGTCCATTCTTTAGAATAATCCCAATTAGAAAAGTGGTTAAGGATATAAATATTTTCCTGTTTAAGACAATCCAGTTTAGGAAACAAAAACAATCTGGAACTACTTGCCTGTTTGGGCTGGGACTCTGCTTGGATTTTTGGAATTTCTCTTGACTTGGTCGTACTCCCATCAAAGAGGGTGCAACTAGCTGCTTAGAAATTTTGGGCAATTAAACTGAGAGGAAGAAAAAGGCTAATGGGTCAGAAGCACGGTGGACGGAACCATTCTTTTGTGAGTGCCATTAGGTGTTAATGGAGATGAAAATACCTAGCCATTATGGAGAAGACAAGCGATACACGTAGGAGGATTTATATTTTTAATGGGTCTTGGGTGAGCAGATATCTAGCAGTAGGTATCAACAATGTTTAGAGTGATGGGAAATATTTTCAAACCTCCATGGAAACCAAAAACAAATTGTTCTTAAACTCAGATGATGGAAATTCGAGGCCAGCACCAACAAGCAGGTTGATCTACAACATCTCATGCCCAAACTGCAAGATCTTGCTCAAATTTATTTGGAAGATGATTTCATAGGGTGGATCAGGAAGTCTTTTGCTAAGGCTGTGAAGGGTGTGGAGGAGATAGGAACAAAAGTTCAAAAGAAGAGATCTGAGTCTGAGGCAAGTCGGGCAAATTTCAAACTTCAAATATCCCCCCTAGTTGAAGCCCAACGCTCATTTAGGTAAACAAGTAAGCTTTCGGTCAGACGAGCTGCCAGAGCTCTTGATAAATAAACCCAAATGGGTCAAACAAAAATGGATTAGGCCAGTTATGCCCCCATTTTGGTTGCTAGAAAAAAGGCCCACAGTCCATGTGAAGAAGTGATGTAAGCACGGACAGCTTGGACCTTATACTCTTAATAGGTCACAACATGGTATGTTCTATGGGCGACCAAAGTATGTTGGGTCATAAACAACACCCACATGGAGGGAAACAAAGTTTGGAAGTCTCATATGATGGACTCAGAACACATGAGAAAAGCATCCTAAAGACAAGGAGCCAAGCACAAGAACATGGATCAAGAGCCTTGAGGAAGACTTTTTTTATTATATTAAGGGATTGGTTAATAAAAAAAGAAAGGCTTGGACAAAGCATGGAAGCCCAAAAGGGAAGAAGAATAAGCCCATTCGGCCATGGGCCAATTCGGCCATGCCCACTCACCCAATTAAGGAAAGAAGTAGAGACAAGCTTATGGAAAATTTTCTTAAATTGTGAGGGATCTTTTCCCAAGCAAGAAAATATTCTTACCTTAAATTTTTCATCCCAAAACAGCAACCAAATTCAAGGAAAATCTCCATTGAATCCAAAAGATCCTCTTTGGCCAATCTTAATTTTTCAAAAGGAGGAACCAAATCTCAAGCATTGAAAGACATGGACTTCACAGGTTTAGGAAGATTATGGACAGGTTTGGTGTCCGCTTTAAAGCCGGCCCTAATTTTTTTTTTCTTCACTCAAGAATCTCATCAATTAAAGA